AACTAGGCGCCTCCCCCCCCCCCAAAACAATCAAGTGCAGTATCTTCTTCGATCGGTTTCGTATTCGATCTTCCCTCCCCTCACGATCGAGCGTATTATCTGCTCTGTTCGGTTTCGTATCTGATCCGCGGTTGATGTAGACCTTTCTATTGTAAAAAAGCAAAAAGAAGCACGCGAGATCGTGCGCGTACACGGGAGAGAGAGAGAGAGAGAGAGAGAGAGAGAGAGAGAGAGAGAGAGAGAGAGAGAGAGAGAACCTAACTATGCGCCCCCATCCTCTTCCCCCATCACCACCATTATCTGCTTCAATCAGTTTCATATCCGATCTTCTCGCATGATCAAGCCGCAGTATCTGCTCCGTTCAGTTGGCACTCGCTAACGAGAGAGAGAGAGAGAGAGAAGCAATCTTACTAGCTACATGCATCTCCCCCCCCCCCCAACGATCAAGTGTAGTATCTGCGTCGATCAGTTTCATATCCGATCTTCTCGAATGATCATATATATATATATATATAGAGAGAGAGAGAGAGAGAGAGAGATTTCGTGCTTCATGAAGATGGTTAAAAATGGGGAAAAAAAAAAACATGCGCACAAAATATGCGGGAGAGAGACTAGAGAGAAAGCGAGAGGGAAAGAGAGAGAGACCCCAGTCTAACTAACTGTGCGCATGTCCCCCCCCCACCACCAACGATTAAGTGTACTATCTAATCCATGGTCCAAAAAAAAAGCGTGCGTGCAAGACGCGCACTTGGGCACGCACGAGAGAGAGAGAGAGAGAGAGAGAGAGAGAGAGAGAGAGAGAGAGAGAGAGAGAGAGAGAGAGAGAGAGAGAGAGAGTCGACCATCCCCCCGCGATCAGGTGCAGTATTATCTCATCCGTTGTTGATCAAGAACTTTAAAAAAGAAGGGAAAAGAAAATGGAAAATCCGTTGACTTGCTGATCAGTTCAATGGAGAAAAAAAAACAAGGGATAGATTTCGGAAATAAAAGAAACCGGAAACACAAGTGATTTCGGGAAAAAAAAAGTAAAGGGAAGTGGGTGTGTGCACGCACGCAGCCGCAAGAGGTAAGATGCACAGAGAGAGAGAGAGAAAGAGAGAGAGAGAGAGAGAGTCCTATCGATCGGATGTGTGTGTGTGTGAGACGTTCATGATTCGACC